AAGGGGGGATGGAGGATTGATAGGCTAGCGCGCCCCTGATGATTTGCCATAATATGGTACCGGTGTCGGGTTTGTGGATACCGGTACGGTACCGTACAATACTCTCGCTCCTTTGCTTTTGGTATATACATGGATCGGTGATTTCTTTGGTGACGGCAGGCATCCGAGCAGTGCGCCGGTACGGGAATGAAGAGATAGAACGGTGACCGTCGCGACGGTCCAAATGAACAGTCAAAATCGAATCGGATGCCGGTAATAGTAATAATAACAATAATAACGATAATATAGTTTAGGTGAACCTCAAATACGGTCTTCGCTCTTTTTCCGACGGGGGCGAGATCTCAATTCACTCTCTTCGCCTGTAGCCGCCTCCCGAGCCGAGCTACTCCCCTCTCCCCAACGAATCCACCATCGTCATAGGGAGTTCACCACATTCTCCTCATATGTAAACCATCATCAGCAATCAAGGGAGGGAGAAAAGGGTGAAACCACAAATAATCTGCAACAATTCCTTCTTCCCAAGGAGACTTCCCACCTGCCCTATCCAGTCCTGTTTTCCTTGTCCTCTCCCCTCCTTCACCTCCTGTTCGGAAATGTGAATAGGGTAACAAGTGCCGGTAAAACAGAGCAGAAAAAGGGGGGGGTGAGAAGGTGGTTGGCAGCCTTCCACCATTCTCTCTACCATTCCCTCCATCTTCCAGACTCCCTGTCCGAAAATCGCCAGTGCGCGAGGGAAAATTGTGATACCGGTATTGCACTACCGGTACCGGTGTTTATTACGACTGATGGATGATAGGCCGATTCGGAAGGATGGAAGGAAGGATGGAAGGAAGGAAGGAGGGAAAGGGGGGGGGGTAGGGAGGGGAATGCTGGGTTGGTAGGATCACCGCAGCGTCCTGTGTGCATGATATACCGGTATGCTTGCTGGCTCTTCTGAAATGGTGAATCCGCACTACAAGCATGATACGGTATCACAGCCCGACTCTCGTTTACATTAATGCGAAAGGCCCCCTCTCTATATTGGCGAGATTCTACTACAAAGTACTCGTACTTGTACGAGCACTTGTACTCGAGTACATAGTGCACCCCACGTTGCTAGAAGGACGGACGGCAAGGATTCGACCAGGATGAATGGTGATTTTACGAGCACTTGAGCACCCGTAGCTTTGAGAATCTTTTTTATCTTGCGAACCAAGAACCTCAGCTAGCTTTGCGGAGAGATAGGTTGATGTAGCCTTCCTACTCGAGTACCGGCCGGTACCGGTATGCTTCGGTAGGCCAACAGTTGCCTTCCGATTCCCTGCATGGGTTTGGGTCACCCACTATCATCCCCATCCTTACTCCGCCTACAAGTAACTTGGTGTTCCAACTATGCAGAACCCTTCAGAAGAGCTTAGAGTATGCACCGATATTCCTCTGTCTTACCGGTACCACACATACCCAGGCCCCAATGATAGAGTGCAAGATGGAGCGGAATCTCGCTATTCTATTCGGGGTTATAGTAGTGCTTGAAATACCGGCAGCACCGTACGAGTGCCGGCAGAGTCCAAATTTCTGGGACTGGGGGAGGGGCTGTGGTCGTATCATCTGCTTTGGCGTCGAAGAAAATCCGGTACGGGTACTTGTGTGGTCTTGGTCACTTCAATCAGTGGCAATACAGTAGGAATGATAGGGTGGTGGTGTCCAACCCTTTTTACGAATGATACGGGTACCGTAGTCTCTACGATCGCAAAGGGGAGATGCTCATCCCAAGCCCGTTCGAATTGGGTATCCTCGGATACGGTATAGTTATGTCATTTGGAAATGCTTGCCAGCTACGGCAGATGCTCATCCTAAACGGTCGTCCGTTTGGCGCTGCTGCAGCGAAGCAAGAGGACAAGCGGACAAGCGACCACAAAAAGAGAGAGAAGTACTGTACAAAAAGAGCAACGTGGTACCGTATTAATTATTTGTGGCCCTGCTTCTAGGCACTATTGCATGTCGGTATCGGTACGACCGAAGTCACCACTCTGACCAGTCCCGAGTGGTAACGAGCACGGATATTTGCGCGCAATGTGCTAGTACTTGTACTTGTATCTTACGGTATTCGATTCCCCCCCTGCCCCTCGTGATGTGGGGAGCGCAGAGCGGGGAATTTTCCTTCAGACGAGGGTGAAAGAGGGGGGGCGAGGGAGAAGAACGAGCGAACGAACGAACGAACGGGCTAAAAAGAGGGGAGGGAAAAAGGGCTTCCCACGCCATTTTTCCTCTCGGTAATGGTGGCTTCTTGGACACCGGTTTTCTGTCATGGCATAGCAATTGGGGCGCCGCTTGGAGGACATTCGCTGGGTGACGTTTACTCGAGTAGACTGATATGTCTAGGGTCGTCCGTACCGCTCGCGTGTTGAGCCGGAGCAGGGAAGATGGTTGAAAGTTTCTCTGCACAATCTGACCATCGAAATATCTTGGAATTCCTCATTTTTCCCTTCCCCTGACTCGTCTTGTCTGAACCTTTCGTTCTTTCTTTTGATTGACTCCCTTTCCTTGGTTCCCTCCTCTTATGTTTTGTCCCCCACCCCCCCTTAGTATTTATTCTGGTATGGAAGGATGAATGGAAGGATGGAAGCAGTGGAATTAGTGGTGGGGTGATGATGGGTTCTTGATACAAGTACAGATACCGGTAGGGTAGGGCGCGGTAGAGTTACGGTAGATGGAGAGGACGGAACTTTCCAGGTCGGGCTGCCCGCGTGGGAAAGGAAGTGTATAAGCAGTGTACAGTACTCGTACGAGTATGGATGAATCTGGTGGTTGAATGGGAAAAGTGGAGCTATGCGCACGAATAGCAGCAGCCGCCAGCTTTGGAGATGAGGGCCGTCGTGCTAACTAGATGGATTTCTGAGACACAGGGGCAGGACGACTCTGGCGGGGTGAGAAGGTGAAATAAAAAAACGCACAGTGAACCCGCCATTCTGAACTGGGGGGCTTAAACCTCGCATTAGAAGGGAGGAGAGTATCGAGAACCCATAGCCTCTGGGGGGCCTGGCAAAGTAAATGGTGAGAGGTCCGAGTTGGATGCATACATTGCATCCAGGTGAGGTACCGGTAGCGTAGGTAGTATCATACAGTAGACTATCGAGAGTGAGGAGGAGGGATCCAAACCTCAAGGTAGGAGTGAGTGAGTGCGGCCGACCTTTCCCCTCTTTTCCCACCCATCCCGACTTTGTACCGTAGTTCTCCTCCCATTCACTACCTCCACCACCACCACCACTACTACCACTACCGTCCTCCTCCCACTCTTTCCTTGCCCGGCCCTGTGTGTGCTTTCCTTGCTTGCCCTGCTTGCTCGCTAGGCCCATTGCTTTCGTTTCCTTTTTTTTTTCACTCTCTTCCTGGACTCTTTTTTCTTTTCTTTTCGATTTGGCATTTTATTCACAACTTCTTTCCCCACCTGTACCGCCGACTTGTTATTTTGCTTTACGAGTACTTTTTTCTTTCTTTATTTTTTCTCTCCGTCGTATGAGGTAGTCTAAAAACCCTTGCTTTGAGTTCATCTTCTACAGAGACAGAGGGAAAGAGGGAAAGAGGGAAAGAAGGAAAAGAAAAAGAAAAAAAGAAAGAAAGAAAAGAGGAAATAAAATTAACGAAAAGGAAGAAAAGCGATCAAGCGAGCATACTGTAAAAAAGAACAAACTCAGAAGGCTATCTCCGGATTCGCGAGAGCTTGTTGCTAGGTCTGTAGACTGCCCGGTCACCAGGCCTGTCTCCGTCTACCCTCCTCCTTTCCCCCTACGGTCGCTCTTCACCACACGCACATCTTTCAACCCCCCCTCCCCCTTTACTCTTCCAAACCTCTGCTCCTTAGCCACTTTTTCCAGCAGCAAGAGCATCGTTGGACATTATCCTCGCGGGTTTCCTCTTGTTCACTTTAAGGATAGCCCTTTGAGTGTTCAGCTGTTTTCCTTGTGGTCGAATATCTGGCCCCGCTGCTCGCCTAGATCCGGTTCTTCCTGGGTTCCGCAACCCCCTACACCCCTATAGGAACCAACAAACGTCGCTCCGGTCTCGTTTGACGGATCACTCCGGCTGATTTAGCATCGTGATCTGTTGCTTTCTCATTCGTTTACCTCTCGGACGCTAAATCAATTTCCTCTCGCCTCATTATTCTCCTATGATGATTGCCACTGCGACCGCCCGACATTCCCCTCTCTTCTCACCAAACTCATCACACGTTGATAGAAACGGGCTGAGTAACGGGGGTGGGGCAAGCGGAGTATCTGATAGTGGATCTCGGGAGGGTAGGTCCAACAGCACCTCAAACTCCTTTTCCCGGGAGCGCTCTTCTTCCAACGTTAGAGAGTCATCGGCCATGCCCCAGAGGGCTGTACGGCGGGAAGAAATCCAGGTGCCCTCCAGAATGTACGTGCGTGCCTTATACAATTACGCTTCCGAAGACCCTACCAGTTTGAGCTTCAATCAGGGAGACGTGATCCAGGTTATCACGCAGCTGGAAAGCGGGTGGTGGGATGGAATAGTGCACGACCAGAGGGGGTGGTTTCCAAGCAATTATTGTGCTTTGGTTTCTCCCGATGATTTGACTGGAAATGGGAATACCCAATCACCCCTAGATGATAGTGATGGAATGTACGAGGACGATTCTTATGACGAATATGATGATGACGATGATGACTCGGAACGGGATGGTTTGGCTTCGCCCGTATTACCGCTGGAGGGAACTGATGATAGAGCCGATGATGAGGCGGCATTCTGGATTCCTCAGGCGACGCCGGACGGGAGGTTATATTACTTTAATACGATAACGGGGGTAACGAGAACTGAACTTCCGTTGGAAACGCCGACGTCGACGACGGAATCTGGCCCCCGAGATAGGTCGACTTTCTCAGCTCCTGAGCAGACACGCCCACCGACGGAGCTGTTGGCTAGGGGCTATGAGAGAGAAGAACCAGCCTATCATGACCTTGGGGATGATGATGTGGAGTCCGCGTCGGATAAAGAAGGGGAAATGCTGGTTCTGTCTATGCACAGCCCATCAAGAGTAGGTTTTTCCCTCAAACCGATGCCGAATAGGTTTTTTTTATATACTAACGAGAGGTTAGGACCTTGAAAGTCAGTGTTCGCTTGCAGTGTTTATGCCCTGATGGTGTATCGGTTTGCTGACATGATTTTGCGTAGACCGCGAATCGCAAGCCACCCTGGTAGACAACGCCTCAGCTTCCATCGACGCTACCCGCGGCCCCAGCAGTTCGTTTCAGCCAGGCCATTCGCGGTCGCTCTCCGTGTCAACAACTGCCACTGCTGTTAATCTGAACGCCAGCTCTCCTACTATCAACACGAAATCTGCTCTAAGCGCATATCACGAGGACGGGATGCCAGTGCCTGCATCTTGGGACGAACTCCTCGATAACACAAGGCTTGCTGTCGAGAGGTACCGACAGGCCGTTAATGCCTTTGACCGTGCTCAATATGTCGCCCGGGCTGAGGATGTTTCTGATATGCTTCGATTGTTGATTGCGGCGGGCTCAGCAACCACTGACAACCACTCTGGGCAGCCCTCTATAATAACTAGCAACAAGGCTCTCAATCCACATTACAGGCATTTCATGGCAGCATTTTCAAAGCTGGTTTTATCCTCACATGTTGCTGCTACGGACTGCCCACCAGCTGATGCGGAATCCAAATGTTTGGGCGAGGCCGATGAAGTGATGATAGGAGTGTTTGGTTTTGCTGATGTTGCCAGGGCGCAGCGGACTGGAGAACTCCCCCGGTTAAAGCCGGGTTTTGTCTATGGAAGTCATGTTGGCGGAAACTGGAAGGGCGTTGGCAAGGCAGTTTCGCCAAAGATGCCGGGGGTTGCTGCACTCTCCCCTGCAGAGGATTCCCTGCTACCCCTCACACCAAATTTGATTGAGAGAATGGAGGAAGTTTATGCCATTGTCAAACCTACTCTAAAGCTCCTGGAGAGTACTCTGGAGAATACCGAATCCGTTGTGTCTGAATATGAGCAGGAGATCATAGGCACCCGTGTTATCACCGCGGCCCAGGGCGCTTTTGATGCGATCAAGAGGTATTTCAACCTAATCGAGAATATAAATATGGCTCCGCTATCGGCAACTCCTCAGCATCCTACCTTGGTTGATTTCTCGACTCAGAAACAGCGATTGCACGATTCGTTTGGCGAACTCTTCATAGCTTGTCAAGCCGTGACCGCACCGTTGGCCGATGAGTGGACTGCTGTACGCGGGGAGCCTTTGGAGGAGAGATTGAACTCTGTGCGCATCTATGTTAAAGAAATAGAGAGTGGCATTAGTTCTCTTAACTTCTCAATTCAATTGCTTGTCGAAGAGAGACGAGAGAGGGAGCCGAATAGAGATGTTCGGACCGAAGATCTTCGAAGACCGGATGCTTCTCCTATCGACCAAGTCAGCCGCACTCCGGGCCAATCACATCAGCGCACGAGCTCACGTCAGACCCCTCGGGCTGCATCGTCTATCGATCGCACTGTTAGGTCGGGTGGCGCTGGTGGTGGTGGCTCAAAAGCTGCTCGGGTGTTTGGTGAAGAGCCACCACCCGAGACTCCTTGGTACCTTAACTGTGATTACGACTCAGAGATCATCTATGGCGCAAAGAACAAGGTTAAGGGTGGGACTTTGGTTGCTTTGGTTGAACGAGTTACTCGCCATGACATGCTGGATTCTAATTTCATCAGCACCTTTTTGCTGACTTATCGATCCTTCACAACTGCTCACGAATTGTTTAACCAGCTTGTCAGGAGATTTACTGTCCAGCCTCCCTCAGCCTTGGACGGTCCTGAGTTCGAGATATGGACTGAGAAGAAACAGAAGCTCATCAGGGTCCGTGTGTTGAGTATTTTGAAGATGTGGTTGGAACAGAATTGGATGGAGGGCTTGGATGATAACGCGAGGGATCTCTTGAAGAAGATGCAACAATTTGCGCAGGGGGTCATGCTTCCACAGCTTTCTGGCACTAGTCAAGTGCTGTCCTTGATTGACACCCGCCTTCGAGGACAGGAACCGGAGATGAAACGGTTGATTCTTAATATGGTCGTCCAGCCACCTCCCCCGATCATGCCAAAGCATATGAAGAAGCTCAAGTTCTTGGACATTGACGCACTGGAGTTTGCGAGACAGCTCACTATCATTGAGTCCAAATCGTATGGAAAGCTGAAGGCGGCCGAATGTCTTAGCAAGGGCTGGAGCAAACAGCCTTCATCTGGGGGACCTGATCCAGCCGAAAACATTCGTGCGATCATTATGCAATCGAATCGCCTGACAAACTGGGTTGCAGAGATGATTCTCACCCAGGCTGAGGTTCGGAAACGCGTGATCGTCATTAAGCATTTTATTGCTGTCGCTGAGGTATGCATCTGTGGGAGCAGAGTCACTGATCGAAAATGTTAACTTGTGATAGAAATGCCGGCTTTTGAATAACTTTTCGACACTCACCGCTATTCTTGCTGCATTACAGACATCCGCTATACATCGTTTGAAGAGAACGTGGGAACATGTTCCCTCTAGAACCAACCAGACGTTGGAAGGGATGAATACTCTCATGGGTGCAACTATGAATTTTGCGGAATATCGAGAGATGCTGCACATAGTCAATCCTCCATGCGTACCATTCTTGGGTTTGTTTCGTCCAATCAGCGTGTTTGATGGCATTGCGCTTACTTTCGGCCTATAGGTGTCTATCTGAAAGATCTTACCTTTGTCGCCGATGGCAACGATGACTTCATCAAAGGGGACCAGAAGCTTATCAACTTTGACAAGCGAGTCAAGACGGCGAACATCATCCGAGAGATTCAGCAATATCAATCGGTCCCGTACCCCTTGCAACCCGTCCCAGAGCTCCAGGATTATATCATTTCAAACATGCAATCAGCGAGAGATGTCAATGATATGTATAACCTGTCTCTAAGCCTCGAGCCCAGAGAGCGTGAGGATGAGAAGATTGCGAGGTACTTCGATTTCCTATAATTCCTCCCCTGATATTTTCTTGCCCTTTTGCATCATGTCTTCTCCTTTGCTCCTTCACCGGCTCCCTCTTTTTGGTTATGATAAAAAGCCAAGCTACAGGAAGTCCCAAAACTTCAAGGGAGATGAGAGTCGGTGGGGGAACGAGCACACTCTAGAACTATAAATGGGGGAATTTTGGTTCTGACGTAAGGCGATCTATTTCTACAGGTTGTTACAAGAGTCAGGGTTCTTATAAACGGGATGGTCTGGGTCTTTCATCTTTCATTTCTTCTGGCACCTCTGGCCATGGCATTTCAGTTAGTTTGGTGGGTCAGTGCCATCTTTTTTACTTTTTTTATATTTTTTTTTTACTTCCAATTCTTTCTCAGTTTCCTTCGATCTCATCATCATCATCATCGGGGCTTATTCTTGGGGGTTTGGGGCAACGGGGTTTATGTCGATCACCTTTTTCCGTAGCTAGTTACCACTCATCACTATTACATTCTTGGTTTGGTTTTTTTTCCCTCCTTTTTTCCTTCACTTTCTGCTCGTTCCTCTGTGAAGAGGGCTATATCTTGATCCAATATTTCAACGTCTTTCTTGGCGGGGGGGTTTTTTTTTCTCGTGGCGTGTTTTTTTTTTGGCACGGTTGGGATGCTTTTTTCTCTTTTGGAAAAAAAGAAAAACTATTAGTTCTGAAGGTTGTATAAGTTGCAAGTGGGCAACTCGAAAAGCTCACTGGAGAAAGCCAGGAGTCTTGTTTGATAGACGGGAAAAAAGAAAAGAGGGACTATAGTTGTTACATGTTGTATCACAGGGGTGTTAATGGAAGAAGGTGGCATTCAGGTGGTGGGTTAAAAATATGCACTTGATATGATGCGGAGGAGGGTATATCGGTGTTGCAGTATCGTAGAGGTGTTTAAACAACATAACACCCTGCGGTAAGAGATATTGAAATTTCTGATTTACCATTTTGCGGCACCCTCATGTTTGTGCGGTGCCGGTATATTCCTTGGAGCAAATAGGGAGCCTGGAGGGACCTAGGTCCAGCCTTCTGGATAAACACTATCCCGCCAGCCATGATACCGCACTTGTACAAGGATACGAGTACTGCTGCAGGTCCAAGTTTCTAGCATGTCCTTTTGACCGATTTGCCGAATGGGTACAGTTGTATAATATCATGACGATTGAAGAAGCCTTCATGTTATGCACGACGGGGTAGGGCCCAGGACTAACCGCGTTACCGTCGGGCCTCGTCTTCGCATATGAACAGACGCTTAACTACTCGGGACTCACCCCATTCTCCGTCATATCATTATCACCTTGTTTCCACAGAGCAAACCAAACCATCGATATAATATCAGATCAGAAAGGAAATGGCCCCAATTGGTATTGCTATTCTAAGGGTGAGGATTTTGTTCACTAGTCAATTGGGTGGGAACTTGCTAATTGTGAATGTTGGGTGTTGAGTAGTGCGGAATATTCGTACCTGAGGAGCATCTCCTAGCAGTGGAAGCTTGCCCACGCGCAGTTCTGGGGGCAGCATACTCGTTCGAAGGCTTCCGTAAAAAAAATTTGTTGCAAAGCCGGGAGCGGACATCTACTCTAATGCTTCCGAGAATGGCCTGGATGCACTATATTCGTGCGGTTCGATGTCCAGGCTGTGATCATCGCATGAACATCTCCTGCCCCCATGAGTTGGCGCGGCGCTGGTGAGGACTCTTTCAAAGCCGGCAGACAGGTCCAAAACGAGAATCCCGTCGCGAAAGACCCGGCACAAGCCCTAAAATCGATATCATACAACAAGTTCTATCCCGACCTAAACTACAGCGTGGCGGAGAACCTCCACTTCCTGGAAACCTAGATATATGCCCACTAGGAGATAGCCACTCTCAGCCGAGTCACAAACTTTCGCTTGCGAACCTACTAGTTCATCACTCCTAGCTGGAAATATTACAAAACTCCATGGCGCAGGAAGCTAGAATATCAAGGTGGCTTTTCCCTCCTTGATGGCGGCGTACACCACGTCGTTGGCATGCGCGTCCTACCATTCAACAAAAAGATTGTGAAAGTCGCCACTTTCACCGCCTCAAACCTTATGCGCTTGCTACCCGTGGATACCATCTCTACTAGCATCGAGACAGGTAAAGGCCTCGTGGAGAGCTTCAAGGTTAGCCTGGGAACGACATCCGAAGGGCGGGGGTTTGCGGTTGCGTCCGAGGATGGGAGCGTCACAATGCGGCCTGGCAGCGAGGTTGCTAGTCTTAGCAGGAAGGCGGGGAGAGGGCTGGAGGGTGAAGCTGTCAAAATGTTTCCTAACGGTAAGGACAGGTTTGGGGAGGAGGTTGCGGCATTCGTGAAGGCCGTCATTGCGGGGACCCCGGATGAGAGGCAAACCAAGGAACTTGCGGCAGGGGATTTGGAGACGGCGGATTATCCTTCGCTCTGTGGTATGTCCTCTTCGTGTTTGCAAGGTGAATATGGGCTGACAGTGCCATGTTATGTGATAGATTGAGGAGATGCTGCAGTCCGGGGAGAATTATTGGGTTGTTGTGGAGTTCAATCCTGGATTGATGGGATATTTATAACTCGGGGCAATTGTAAATTGCCGTGGTACCTGTATTTTGATGGGTGGCTACCAGCATTGTACTTGTACCAATGGTGCTTAAAGTCGTGTCGGGTGCGGTGTCGCCGGTGTCGCATCGGCAGCTGTGTTGGGGAGCTAGGTATGCCCGTAGGGTGGATTTGAGTACAAGGCGGTCTCCATGTCCATGAATATAGTACGGTAAACTCAATTACCGTAAAAGCTCAAACAATTGGACCCGGTTTCGTGTCGTTGGACATTCCTCTCAGTGAGGCCAAGAATTTTTTTTTTTTCCCGTCTTGGAGGAGGGAAAGGGCCTGTGTTTTTGCAGTGTTGTTTGCCGCCTTTCCGTGGAAGGAAATTTTAGACTCCAGTACTAGTATTTAGCAACTTGAATAGATAGGGCACCAGTGCGTGAAAAGGTGATATATTATGGTTCCTGCGCTTCAAAATGTACACCACGATTTCGGGTACTTTTCATTCAATAATGGGGCTTCATTCAAGACCATTAAAAAATTTAAAAAACAACCACATAAAAAAGCTGATGGCTGCAATGAGTGTAGTGTTTTTTTTTAAACCTGGGCAATTTTTTTAAAATATCCATT